AAAAATTATTCAATTTTGTATAAGAAATATATTGCTATACACATACATATGTATACATACATCATCACTGATCAATGGTATCATACCAATCCTATGTGCTAAGAATTCGTCACTTAAAACAGTAGAATTCGCTTCCAGTTGTATCCAATCAATAGCCATAGTTGGAGTTTCGGCGATAAAGACACGCCTCATGCTGTTTGCGACACTAATAAGGAAATGTTAATTTTGAGATTTTTGAGGTGATTTACCAATGTTAATTATAAATTAAATTGCAATTACATATTTTGGTAATTATACAGAATACAGGCCGCACCTCTGATTTTGATGAAATTAGGCTTAATTAATGCGTTTTTGCATGAAATAAAAGAATCTGGCAGAAAAAAGTATTGCTCTGCTCCGCGAACCGATATTAAGTGTTACAGTTGACGACTATTAAGGTTAGGAAAGATATAATAAAATGACAAAAATATGGAACATCGATCATTTAATCACACATAAGTACTACTTCCAAAAAACAAAAATTCAGTACTTTAAAAACAGAATGTACTGCTTCACAAACACAACAGATCAGTACTTTAGTAATTGAAAAGTACTGATCTGTTGTGTTTGTAAAGCAGTACATTTCTGTTTTTAAAGTACTGAATTTTTGTGTTTTGGAAGTAGTACTTATGTGTATTTAAATGACCGATGTTCCATGTTTTTGTACCTTTTGTCGTTTTATTACACCTTTTCTAACCTCAATAGTTGTCAATTTTAATGCTTAATATCTCGGTTCGCGGGGCAGAGCGACATTTTTTTCTGCCAGATTCTTTCATTTCATGCAAAAACGCGTCGATTAAGCCTAATTTCATCAAAATCGGAGGTGCGGCTCGTATTCTGTATAATTACCCATATTTTGATTGTTCTACGTTATCTAATTTGTCTTACCTCAATTCAGTATCTTCCACTTGAAATTTCACATTTTCTTCGGTTAAGTCTGAAATATGGACCGATGGTTGATTAGCGTATGGCATTTTATTCAATTCAACTTCAATCTTCTTCGAAATTTAATTGGCCTGGTTCTGCCTGGTTCTGTTTAACGAGGTAAACTTGGCCAGTTTTAACTTATGCACAGTCAAAGCCAGCACCGCTTAAAGGTGCCATTTATGCATATATAGCGGGGAGCACAACTTTTGCATAACGCATAAACCATATACATAAAGAATTTGATTGGTCCACTGACTCATGCATAAGAAAATGGACCAATGAAATTCCTTATGCACATGCTTTATGCGTTATGCAAAAGTCTGTGCTCCCCGCTTATGTATTTATGAAGGAAGATATAAGGAGACTCCACTCAGGCTCGCCACCTCGCCAGACCTCTGACACAGGGTGCGGTCGAGTTGCCACCATGGTTGCCACTACGAATACTTCGAAGCATTTCATGATTGGTTAATTTGTAAAATTCTTTCTACTGATTGGATAATCAAACGCTTCGAAGCATTCGTAGTGGCAACTCGACCGCACCCAGTCTCTGACAAGATAGCAGACAAACTGATGGCTGCGTTCAGCAGAAAAAGCAGCTTTAACTGTTGTAAAATTCTTTAATATGATTGGTCTTGCCCTTATTTCCTTATTAGATCTAAATGTATAAGCCAATCAAGAATTTTACAACAGTTGCAAAGCTGCTTTCTGTGCTGAACGCAGCCAATATGCATTCAGTACTACAATTGCTCACTGAGCGCTCAGTGAGCGCTAGAGACCCTATACCAGAGTCTGGACACGAGATAGACAATTTTTTATTGGTCCGTCGTTTGTGGCAACTCCCGCTTCAATTTAAACGTCGATAACCTTATAGATTCATGTAGGAGAGAAATGTATACATAAACTTTTTAGAAAATTTTTATTTTTTTAACGAATATTATACATAGACTTACTGTCATATCTTTGAGGTAATGCATCACTTTTTCTTTTATTATAAATTCTTAACCTAAATACAACAAACTAGCAATTATTTTTCTTAACAGATTATGGCACTTTAAGATATCACATTTAAATTTAATATTATTAAAGTTTTTTATTAAAAATAATTTAATATTGTCTATAACATCAAAATATTTTTTATAATATCGAAATCTTTGTTCCATTGCTATAAAAATTTTTAATGTATTTATATTAATAAAATATAAAGAATTTTTCCTGTAACATTTCGATTGCACTAATTTTGTAAATGAATACTTTAATTAATTTTTTGAGCCCCCAGATTGTAAACATGCATCACATATTTTATATGTTTTCTTAATAGAATTTAAAAGATAACCACCAAGATTATATAAACTATTTAATTCAAGATTTGACAACTTGATACAGAATTTTTAGAAAAAGGTGGAATTTTATCATTAATATTATTTGTATTATTGTTTGTATCGATAATACATTCTTTCCTCTGTTTATCTTCTGTTATATAATTAAGAAATCCTGATAAATATTCTCGCTCACACATCGTTTTCATAATTGCTACTATTGATATGTCTCATATACATAGCTATTGATATTTATTTCAAATCGTTTGTAAATTGTAGCGCATGAGGTTTAGAATTTTTTTGTCTAATTTGAGAGAAAAGGTTTTCAAGACAATCCTGATTGAATCGAGAAGTTAAAACATATTCTACATTTCTTTCTGTAATAAGATATTCAGTTAACTCTATTATTGATGTTGTACTTATCATTATGCCTCTTTGAACTGGTTTAAATTCACCGTTACCTATTTCTAAATCTGTAAAAATATGAATAACTTCTTTTAAAAAATCAATATTTTCATTATATACTTCTTCATTTTTTTTACCAAGTGCTAAATTACAACTTCTTGATGTTATTAGACAAAACCATTTAGAAATCATTTTTACAAACCATGCAGTCGTAATAAAGTCTGTTTTATTAAACTCATCTGCTAACAATTCAAACGAGCTGCTTACATCATTAGAAAAAACATTTCTAGCCTTGTTTACCTTCATTTTATTAAAATTATTGCAAATGAGATCATTTAATTTTAATCTAGGCGTCAATAAAAGTTCGCAATTATGTTGAATATCTATTAACTGAAAGAAATGTTCTGACAAAATTTTATTTGAAGGTAACTTATACTTAATCATTGTATCATTGCTAATAGTTATCACTTTATTATTAAGTAAAGATTGCTTTAAATTTTTTAAGATATGTGGTGGGTCACCAATCACATATAAAAATCGACTAGAATTAAACGCGGATGTATAATTTTATTTATTATTTTATTATATTTTCCGCTGCTTATTCCTAATAACTTCCACAAACCAGTATTTGTTGAACCCATATCCAATGTTATAAAATTAATTCGAAAACCTATTTCTTCTACTTTACTAATTATCTGAAAGATAATTTGTTGTAAAGATATACTCTCACAACTATTTCCTATGAAATAGTATCCCACTACATGTTTCCATCGATTTTCAATGCCGACAAGCATGAAAACCATTACATGGGATGCAATACCTTTTTCGTTTGGAAGTGTTATTTTGCCTACGTATGATCCTGTTGAAGCAGCGTAAGATTCCATTGGTGTAATTCCCATTTTGTCGAAAACCAAACCGCATTTTAAATGTGTTTCTTTTTTAAAATATTGTTTTTTATGTTGTAGGAACTCAAACATTTTATTCAAAATTCCAGGGTCGAATTTAAAATTTTGCAGTTTTCTTCGCAAAATTCGTAAATTTGGAAGCGGTATTCCTTGGCGAATTAATTCTTCGTATCCATTTGCTCCACAGACAAATTTTATTCGTAGAGACTGATGAATTGTGTCCTCTGACCAGCTTCGAACGTTATGTTTTTTCGAAATTAAAGCTTTTACTTGATCATCAGTAAATATTGATTTCAAAGCTTTTTTATATTTATCGTTATTAATATGATTTTCTAATGTCCGTATTTTAAATATTAAAGGTACCATTTCATGCTGACGCTTGACGCTTATTTTTAGCGTCAAAACAGATCACGTGATACAAATTGACGAATATTAAGCATCAATTTTGATCACGTGATCTGTTTTGACGCTAAAAATAAGCGTCAAGCGTCAGCATGAAATTTACCTTAAAGCTTTCATTTTCTTTTTTGCTTTTACTGCATGTAATCATTGTTTGTGAATAATATATTTTATCGCACTTTTCTGTATGTTTCTTTACTTCTGTTATACATGAAGTACATGGTATCGATGAAATATTTGAGTCAGAACTATTATTTATGATAATTTAAAAATTTATTAACAAATTATATTAGAATATATATACACTTTTCTTATGCAGGATTACATTTAGAAAATGTGCACCTTAGAACTTATGATCTCAAAACCCTAAACAAATCTCTATATATAATAAAGATTCTCTCTATATATAATAAATACACAGTAAATAAAGTCATATATTACATGAAATTTTTTTGAAATTATTAAGACATATTTAGAACTTCCAAATTAAATTAAAGATGAGAATATAAATAAATAAATAATATAACATTTTATCATCCTAGGACTTACTTTCATTTTCTTTTTTGCTTTTATTGCATGCAACCATTGTTTGTGAATAATTTTATCACACTTTTCTGTATGTTTCTTTACTTCTGTTATACATGAAGTACATGGTATCGATGAAATATTTGAGTCAGAACTATTATTTATGATAATTTAAAAATTTATTAACAAATTATATTAGAATATATATACACTTTTCTTATGCAGGATTACATTTAGAAAATGTGCACCTTAGAACTTATGATCTCAAAACCCTAAACAAATCTCTATATATAATAAAGATTCTCTCTATATATAATAAATACACAGTAAATAAAGTCATATATTACATGAAATTTTTTTGAAATTATTAAGACATATTTAGAACTTCCAAATTAAATTAAAGATGAGAATATAAATAAATAAATAATATAACATTTTATCATCCTAGGACTTTAGTGTCAAAAGTCCATAGGTAAACGCGCTACTGTTCATATGTAATAACTGTGTTTTTATAATACCTGTAGTACAGTAATTATATTATACAAACCTGTTGTTCCTTATTTTGGACATCCTTTATTAAATGATCATTGATTAATTCAATAGATTCTGTATTATTGATGCTATAAATTTGTACTTCACTTCTATTTGATTCCATTGTAGGCGAAATGCATGGTATCGATGAAATATCTGGCTCAGAATTATCAATTATAATAATCTAAAAATTTATTTATTTATTTACAAGTTATGTTAAAATTTACTTTCCTCATATAATAACTGTATTATATTATTACGAACTTGTTCCTTATTTTGAACATTATCATTTTTGGAATCATTGATAAATTCTATAATTTGCGTATTATTGTCCATTTCCTCTATTGATTTATTTTGCTTCTTGATAAAAAAGCCAAATATTGTCGGAATAGCATCTGATTTTAACTTTTTTTTACCATCAGCTCTTTGTTGCCACATCTCTGGAGCAAAATGAACCTGCATAATACAAATAATTTTAGATATGATCATAAATATAATAATATGAAAAAGATTTCTAGAAAGAGCATTTTTTTAATCCTTTATTATAGAACTAAGTATTAGGAAGCTATTAAAAACTTATTAGAGTAACCGAAATATTTGAAAATCTATAAATATTGATGATAAAAATTATAAACATACTGTCCACAAATGCTAATGATATTAATGGTATTCATAATAAAAATATTTATTTTAATAACATTAATATTAAAAATATATTTCATTTATCTTATTTTAAAAAATTCAAACGTACTAACTTCACAAAAAAGTGAATTGTTTGTCGGTACCCGCATTCTTCTCGGTTAACATTTTTTACCCATATAACTCATCGTTCAGGATTTTTAAGAAATCTTTTCATTGCGTATCCTTTGACAGCTGAATTATTGCAATATTACTATTTTTACTATAAATATTTATTTAATGTTATTATTTTTAATATTTAATACATCAACATCGATGATTTAATTTTTTTTACGCTGTTAACTTAAATGAAAGAGAATATACAAATATATACATTACATTAAGGTTAGAATTAATAGACGAAGATAGTGTATATATATATCTTTCTCTCTCGTAGCATTTTGCCACAATCGCGCTCGTGTCCAGACTCTGGTATAGGGTCTCTAGTGAGCAGCGCTCATGGTATAAGAATAAGGGTATGCTCACGCCGTGGACACCCACTGCGCAGTCAAAGCGTGACGTCACTCTCGGGGCCAATCAGATCGCCCAAACGAGAACATGGTGGCTCCTGATACTTGACATGGTTAATGTTCGGTGATACATACGATACGTACACAATGTCCTGTTGTATAAAAGGTTGTGGCAATTATTATCGCAAAACAAAATTGCTTAACGGAAACAGCATAAAATATTTTTCGTTTCCGAAAGATTTAACGATTGCATCTAAATGGCTTGCTGCATGTGGAAATCAAAACGTTAATATTAAAAAAGGTAAGATTTTGTATTTCTTGTAAATGTACAAATGTAACGAAATCAACTGTATATAATTTTGCTAAAGAAATACAACTAACGAAATACAATATATACATATATCTCTGAAGGAAAAGGTATTAACATTTTTATATATTTGTTTCATAATAAATTCTTCTATCTTTGTTGAGTTTGTAATGTTTACTTATGGTTACATTTTGTTACAAGATATTCATTAGTTCTTAAATTATTTAAAAACGTATTTTTCCTGTAAACTTTAAATCAAAATAAAATAAAATATCTGACGAAAATGCTGCTAACATAAGTTGTTTGGAAACAGCAGTTTTAAATTTACCGCTTGTTTGTGTGACGTCACACTTTGACAATTTTAATTGGTCGCATGCGCGTGAGCATACCCTTATTCTTATACCATGAGCAGCGCTATCCATGAGCGCTCAGTGATCGATCATGGTGGAAGTATACTTCCACCATGTGAGCGATTTCTACTTAGATGAAATGTTCTCTTGATAATGCTTGGGCGCATTCAGCAGAAAAAAGCGCTACGAGAGCGCTCGCTGTTATTGGTATATTCTTCCAGATTTAAAATTCTGATTGGATGATCTAGAAGAATACACCAATAACAGCGAGCGCTCTCGTAGCGCTCTTTTCTGCTGAATGAGCCCAAATTATTGAGCGCTCAGTGAGCACTCTAGAATCGTGTATTGGATGCAAGTGCTTACTAGCTGCTTATTGAGAGCGCTCATCATTTTTCATCAATTTTGGTGAGCGTAAATTTTTGTCGCTCACATCGCTCATTAAGCATTCATGCTTTCACAGCTTCACAAAGAAATAATAAATAATAGTATAATAAGTAAGAAATATAATTTAAAGATAAAATATCTGTAAATAAGTTATATTCTACATACGAATATTTAAAAGTGTGTGTTTCTCGCCTTAAGCGGGGAGCACAGCTTTTGCATAACGCATAAAGCATGTGCATAAGGAATTTCATTGGTCCATTTTCTTATGCATGAGTCAGTGGACCAATCAAATTCTTTATGTATATGGTTTACAGTGTTCGATCTTATCTGGGTAAAATTATCTAGATGATCATCTAGATGAAATTTTGATGCCATCTTATCTTTATCTAGATAATAAAAATATTAATTATCTTTATCTGCATTTTAGATGAAAAAAAGTATCATCTTTATCTAGAATAATGTTTAGATACTTTGGTTCATATTTTACATTGCTAAAAATGTGAAAATATTATAATTTTTTCTTCTATACAGTTAATGTTTACAGAAAAATTTTCAGCCTCAGGAAGAGAGTGAGTGCATCTAATAGCATAAATAATCATTCACATTGCCCTCAAATGATCTTTTTATTTCTGCACTAGGACACTCAATTCTGATTGATTAACCCAGAGCTGCCCAAAGTCGGTGTTTTTTTGCTCGAAATCGAAATGTATCGTGTCGGTATTCACGCTCTACTGTTCCTACTTCTCACTTCGTTGATGTTTTATCGTAGTGCGCGATGCTCGATTCATGGATGACACTAATCCGAAATCGAAAAAAGTTTTTGACCTGTGTCTTTCACTATATTTAAAAGAATGTTATTATTAATATTATAAGATACATTATTATTCATAATACAACGTATTATTCATAACCGTAATGATTATGCATGCTTGCTTTCATGCAACTAATATAGAGGAAAAGGACTGTATAGAATTTTTATGTGATTCTTCATTATTTTTTTGAAAATTGTGAGAGACATTGTAAGAGACAAACGAAGTATTGTATACTAAAATTGTAAAATTTAATATTTTTTAATTATTTTGAGAAAAAACTGATTCTTAATTTATAAACAGTCTTAAAAATAAAAAATTATCTGGAATTTTTTAGATGAATTGTCAGATAAATTTATCTATATTATCTAGATTAATTTAAATGTAATCATCTTTATCTTATCTAAGATAAATTTCCAAATTTTCATCTTATTTTTATCTAGCTAATTTTAAAATCATCTATGCACAACACTGAATTGGTTTATGCGTTATGCAAAAGTCTGTGCTCCCCGCTTTAAGCGGGAAATTTGTTCATAACTTTTTTTTGGTGGGTGGACAAACGAAAATAATGGGTGGACAAACGTGGACAAACAGTGGACAAACGAATGCAATAATGATTTTACCAATATTCGCATTTAAGGTGCCAACTTCACAAAGCAGCTCTGTGAAGTTGAAATCTCTAAATTGTAGAAAAAGTGACGTGCTGACTATTTCTATCAGTTTTAACGGCAGTTCTCGTTAGTTCTCACAGAGTTCTATGCATTGCAATCATTTATATTTTCTACAAGTGTCGTGCTGTACTCAGGTATTAAAAAATTGATTAAAAATATGTAGAGGCCGGAATTCTAATTATAAATGATTGCATTGCATAGAACTCTGTGAGAACTAACGAGAACTGCCGTTGAAACTGATAGAAATAGTCAGCACGTCACTTTTTCTAGAAGTTTTATGCCATTTTCTATATATAGGCAGGGAATGGAAAGTTACTTTTTAAAAATAACTAGTTACAGTTACTCGTTACCGAGTAAAAAATGTAACTAGTTACAGTTACAGTTATCGCTTTTTAAAAGTAACTCGTTACAGTTACCGTTACTTGAAAAATAACTTTTCGTTACTTTTCCGTTACTTTTTTAAAATCAATTTAAAAATGTACTTTTGCATTTTTTTTTATATGTAATACTGACAAATATATAGTTTTTTTTAAAAAAAAAAAAAACAATGTAGAATGGCTCAAATAATAAATTAAATAAAAGTAAAATGAGAAGGGTTACGAGCCAATAATGAAACAGTTTATTTCCGATAAGAACGACGATGACAATGTAATTAAATGTATAAATATATATTAGAACAATACATAGATAAAACAAGATAAAAACAAACGACGTTTCGACATTTATTGTCATCGTCTTTTAAACTGTTTCGCTTTTGGGTTCATAGCCCTTTTCATTTTACTATTACTTAATTTATTTTTTAATTTTTTTTAAACACACTTTTGTAATTCTAAAACCTGTAAAATATGCAGCAAACTGAAATATTTGTATGTCCTATGTATTACATAGAAGATAGAAGTGTAAAATAATTACTGAATCATAACGGCCGAATGTCTAAGGGCTTTCAAGTCTTATTGATAAGAGCTATAAATAGCATGTATCCAATCGAACCGTGTTCAATCGTGTGCAAAGTAACGACAAAAGTAACTGTAAATTTCGTTACCGTTACCCAAAAAATGTAACTCGTTACCGTTACAGTTACCAAAAAAAGAAAGTAACGCAGTTACCAGTAAAGTTACCAAAAAAGTAACTTGTAACTGTAACTTCGTTACAAGTAACGAGTTACTTCCATTCCCTGTATATAGGATGTATAAAAATTATTAAATGTTATTTTTTTATTTTGAAAATATCTTAGTTGGTTTTTAGTAGAACTATAGGGAACTGTTGCTAAAAGTGCAAATATTAATTTTTTTCTTGTACTTTAGAGGAAATCTGACGTGCCAGATTCGCGAAGTTAGCACGCTATATTTTCAATTTTAGTTTTTTCATATTAAAACTGCGGAAATATTTTTTGTTTTTAGGTAGAACTGTAGAACTATGAAAAGTGCTACTGGAACTGTTGTAATTTTTTTGATATCGACAGAATGTCGTGCCAGTTTCACAGATCCCTCTGTTGCAAGTAGGAGAATCGGTCGGTAATCTCGTTCTTTTGAGTCGAGTTTCCCCTTGGATAACGACATGAAATTTACCTACAGACAGCCATAATGTTTCCACGGCAACCACACGACATTATCACCGCGGAGTAGTGGGATCAACACGATGCTGAATTCACTACGTGTACCACGTACCGTTGTTCTGCACTCCTGTCCAACGTTATCACGGAGAGGCGACACTGGGGTGTCGTGATCGCGCGTGGTCTCTAATTTTTTCACGAAGACGCTGCCAGCAGCTAGAACAAGCGAGAATGACGTCCCGTCACGAAAAGGAGCGTACCAAGCAGATCCAGGAGAAATGTCAGAATCTGCTGACGCAGATGCTTCGCGACGAGGATAACAAGTATTGCGTCGACTGCGATGCTAAAGGTTTGTTTCTCGGCCATATCATTAATGTTCCTGTCATCCGTTTTCTCCTTCGGAAAGTCGTTGTCCTCTATGAATCCTCTGTTTCTTGCTTTGTGCTCGTTCCTGTACTCGACTTGATACTGATCATGAAACGACGTATGTAACGCATCATGTTCTATACGATGCACTGAGAGATGTATGGATTTTTAATCTTAGCATTACATCCATCAGTGCGCTGTCACTTGATGGCATTGTCAAGATCCTTCCAAATTTCATATTCAATTTATTATCTCGAAAATCAAAGCATGAGCTCATTTGTGTGTGAGGATTGGAAAAAAGTGTCTATTACATTACATGATTTGATACATCATGTAAATGTTTATGAAAATTTATATAATTAATAATCATGAATATTATATAGTTTGATAAAGTTTTTTTATTGATAGATTTTTATCATTGTATTTGCATTGAATTTCTAATTGGAGTCTCTATGCTCAAGAGAGATAAGAATTATTTACCATATATCTTCAATGTATTTATATTTTGCAGGACCAAGATGGGCTAGCTGGAATTTGGGAATTTTTCTGTGTATTCGATGTGCTGGTATTCATAGAAATCTTGGAGTACATATAAGCAAAGTCAAGTCTGTTAATTTAGACACATGGACGCCTGAACAAGTAGTGGTATGTAGCAGACATATGGCTTACAATATTTAATAAAGAATGATTTTGTTTAATTTTTATATTAAAATATAATTAAAAATGTAAACTCATAAATTCCTTAATTCTAAAACATAATTAATCCTTTATAAAGAAATGGATATAAATAATTCTTAATATTTGCTTTCTACAGAAAAATTTTTATTTTTTATTTTTTATTTTTTTTGGTTCCATTCAAGATTAATTTTTATTTTTCTTTTAAGCTTCATACTTGAATATTTTTTTAAAGTTTTATATTTTTTAAATATTTATTTTATGAATAAAAGAAATTTTATATATTTTAAAGCTAATATTGTTTTTATATTTTTATTATCTTGATTTTTATAATTAAAACAATATTTTAAATATTAACAATTTGTATCCAATTATATAATGAATATAATCCTATTAAAATTTCTAGAGTTTACAACAAATGGGAAATTCTCGAGCAAGAGCAGTCTATGAAGCCAATCTTCCAGATAGTTTTCGAAGACCTCAGACAGATTGTAGTCTGGAAAGTTTTATTCGAGCAAAATATGAACATAAGAAATATATAGCTAGAGAATGGGTGCCACCTCCTTTACCAAAAGTATGTGATTATCCTAATTTCATATTTGCCTTACAACACCAGAGATGACCCTTTCTAATTTTGCCAAATTATATATATATATATATATATATATATATATATGTGTACATATATTATATACACATACATACATACATACAAATATTATAATCAGTAAATTTATTAAGTTTTAACATTAAATTTATATATGGCTAATGTAAAATTTTTTTAACGCGTTTTTTTTCTTATAAAATATTCGCATTCTCGAGAAAAACGCGTTTAAAAATTTGGTAGTAATAAAATTTTTTAACGTGTTTTTCTTATAAAATTCAACTAAATAGGAGGAGTCCACGTTTGATGTTTTTTCCAACACCAGACATGATCTCCTCTGATTACTAAATTTAATATATAATAGCTGCCAAAATTATAGGACGCGTTTTTCAAGAATTCATGAAAAAAAATACATTAAAAAAAATTTTACATTATTACAATAAGAAAATTTTTTAATGTATTTTTCTTGTAAATACTTGAAAAGCACGTTTTATACTATTAGGACGAATTAGTAAGAGAACTAAATTATATATTATGTTCCTCTTATTAGTATGTAATTTTACATATAAAAATATATATTTTAGCATACATATAAACATTTAATGTGTTCAAGAAATTGATGAATAATTTTGTTTTACACACACACACGCACACGCATGCACAAAATAAATTTTATATGTACATTTATTGCTTAATTAATTAATCATTTTCGCAGGTAAATTGGGATAAAGAGCTTGATGAAGAAGTCGAAAGACAACGCAGACGAAAAAAAGAAAATTTGGAAGTTACGACTACTGTACTCCCCCCTGTACAAAAACCAGAAATAGTGCCTCAATTGCCAAAACCTCGAAGTTCCGTCAGTCCGAAACTGGGTAGAACAAAAGAAAGTTCTGCAATCCTTGATCTCTTAGGTCTTGGTATGTTGTGTGTACAAAATGTTCCAGACATATAGAAATCACTATTCTCAAGAAGCAATTTTTTCTTTTAACAAAAATACAATTGTAAGATAGGAAGAGGTTGCTTCTTGTACAAAGAATCACATTGTGTATTCTTTGTATGTAAATTCTGACATACTCTGAATAATTTATACTATTTATAGAATTGAAATATTGTAAGCTATGTAACTTATGATATATTTTGATATCACTATTAACAGATGCGCCAACAACTAACCAAACAAATGTAAATAGTTCTGGGGACGATGTATTTTCTTCCTTTCTGTCTGCACCTCCTGCTTCAGTCACTTCAACTGGAAACGACTTTAATGGAAGTAAAACGACCACTATTGCAAGTAAAAGCGAAGAGGAGAGCTTCTTTAACCAACCAACCCCACTACCTCAGGAAAAAAGCAAGATGACAAAAGATAGTATTTTAGCATTATACGGTACTCCGAGTCATCAACCAGCTATCTATGGTGTCTTAGGTAATACATTATAAGATAAAAATGATATTATATGCAATATTAATGAAATTATATTGTATAATTGAATTATGTTTTTTAATATACAATATATTTCAGGAGGAGTGTATCCTCAACACTCTATACCATATAAACAGCAAATGTCTAACGTAAGTGTATTTGGGCAACAAAGCTCGTTGAATCAATTCGGTCCCACACAAATACCGATCGCAAATCAAATACCGATCGCAAATCAGATACCGATCAATCAAAATCAAATTATACCAAATCCTAATACGATAGGTGCTGTAGCAGCCAATCCTTTAGGTTTACATATAGGACATATGAATCAATTAAATGGTGTACCTAATACTACTATCACAATGCCACCTCAAATGGTATGTGATATTTCTTGTATGATATTGTAAAATATGTTTGTAATTATTCATACAATTACTTTTCATACTTCAATCTTTTTTTCTTCGATTTCTCATAGATGATGCAGTTAGGACAAAATAATAGTAATAATGGATGGAGTGGAATGCTAACACAGAATATTCAACCAGCTCCCGGCAGCAATCCCTTCTTTAATTTAACAACACAGCAACAGCAAACTACTGCATTTACCGCTCAGGTATGTAAACCTTAACAGTGTTTTATGTAATTTATAATCGTATCTCCTGATCATATAAAATTTTTATAAGATATGAATATAAAGTAAAATGTTAAAACTTTGTAATACTTTATAATGTTATTTACATTTAGTCAAATCAGTCTTATTTTTATGGCATAATTCATGATGTTATAGTTGCCACAACAAATGTCACAGATGTCTCTTGGCGATATAAACTTTGCCTCTACAGGCAAACCTGCTACTACCGCACTACCTGGGCAGACCCTTTCCACAAACTTATGGCAGTAAAATTATTGTGGATATTGTTAGCCTGTTGATTATCTCATTCAGTGTTGTATACTAATGTCGTCAGTTTATTATCCAATATAATAACGTTTCTATGTTCATCAATTGGACATTGCTTCGGAAAGTAATAGAACTGACGACGAAAACTAAAATATAAAAAGAACAATTTACTCGATTGTTGTCTCAACACATAATTCGTCAATGTTTATAGAGCTTCAAGTAGATACATATTTTCGTTTGAAAGCCTTCACTTGCTTTCAATATTACTGTTGGGAAAAAAAAGAAATTCGAATAAAAGTAAGACAAGTCTTTGAGTGAATGTAAGGAGTTATTTGTGTGAGACTAAATATGTACCTCATGATACAAATTATGTTGCTACAGTGAGAGCTTTTTGTAATTGCAATTGAAATATATATGTCAGGGTACATTTTCAATATAACAAAGTATTCATTCAGTCAGTGGAAAACTGTATAATTTTTATTAGCTTGAATTTGATTGGTAGAATTATTATATGTGTCTATAAATTTATTTGATAAAATGGAAATACTTTAGTTAATGTAAAGTATACTTTCTCGTATTTAACGCTATTAAAAATAGAATTCATTCAAGTTACAATATCGATTTCAAAATGCTAATTCAAAGATGTACGAGTTTTGTTAAAGATAAAAAGATTTGGATCTTCAATTTCTTTTTAAGGTATTCTATTTGACACGTGCAATATGTGTCCACATTTATTCTATATTAGTAAATAAATACAAAATAATATGAATGCGAGATATAACGCATTTTTTACATTTGCGTAAGATATAGAATATATTACTGTTGCGACAATGAGATTTAAATAGTTCAGCAATTTATTTATTATGAATATGAAATCTGAGAAAAAAAACCTATAAATCATATATTGGTGCTAAGAAGTCTAGAGCATTTTCGATTAAATACATTACATTTTAATTAAGTCAAATTGAATAATGATGTATAAAAATAATATATAAAATGTTTTTTCTTTTATAAAAAGAAATTTTTTAGGAGATCTTTACAATCACAAATAATTTGATTATATACGTATAATTTACGTAATAAATAATTAATTATGCTTTTCTGTATACTATCATAAAATATTTTGCAAACAACAATTTCTATTAATACATTGTTCATATGATTTAATATGTAGGAGGCACTACTATACTTAGATGTATAATTACAACCTGTCTTTCAAAGTATTGATAATGATAATTATACAGACTGTTTAAGCATTGTACACTTTTTCTTACTTACAGGTTCTATAATCTAGGATTATAGTAATTCGTTGTAATGAGTTATAAGTTCAGGAATGTGAATAAATAAGTCTTATTTTTCTGATTTTACATTACGTTTAATGTGAGATTTGATTGTCAAATTTAAATTGTTAATACCAAATTTAAATTATCAAAGCCCAAATTTAATTTCTAAGGAACTGTAGTCGAGAAGAAAAGCGTGACACACTGTATATGAATATAGCGAAACGCAGTATTTTTGGCAAGTATTTACATTAATATAAATAAACAAATTAATCACTCTCTAAGTGATTCCTGATAATCAGTGAAAATATCAAGAAGAACTTAAGGAGCTCATCTTAATTGTTGCCCTACAGTACCAAGCTATTATTTATATGAATTATTATTATAAGTATAAATTATGAAATACTGTACTTGTGTCAAAATATAACGGCATTTTATTGTAATTTGATTACTCTATTATTTATCATTCGTGAAATTGTTAAGCAAGTTAAATGAAACTTGTGATATAACCAGGGAATGGAAATAACTCATTACTTGTAACGAAGTTACAGTTACAAGTTACTTTTTTGTAACTTTACTGGTAACTGCGTTACATTTTTTTTGGTAACTGTAACAGTGACGTAGTTACATTTTTTTTATAACGGTAACAAAATTTACAGTTACTTTTATCGTTACTTTGGACACGTTATTCCATTATATAACAATTACGTGTTATCAGGGTTGGGTAGTGCTAAATTAAAAAGTTAAGTTAAAAAGTTAATTAATTTTAACTTAACTTAGTTACATTTCAGACTCCTAACTTTTTAACTTTATTTAGTTACATTTTATCAGTAACTAATAACTTTTTATTAATTTTTTTAAAGTAAGGGTCTACGCACAATAGGAGAAATATTAGGAACAGATATTAAATATAAGAATTTTAACCTGTCAGAAAGCGCACATTCCACAGTACACAATTCTGATAGGTTAAAATTCTTATATTTAATATCTGTTCCTAATATTTCTCCTATTGTGCGCAGACCCTTAGTGTCAGACCCAATACGAGCCAAACGTAATCAAAAGATACGAATTCCGGCCGGCTTGCAGCACGTGATCAGCGCCTTCGGTGGCACTGTCGCGTGTTAGGGTCTGAGCACAAGCACTGCCGTAATATTTTACGACATACTTAAGTTGTAGACGTAAATAACACACAAGCTTTGGCGTATCGGCGTATGATGTGTTTATGTACATTATTGACATATCTTTCGATAGCGTGCATAAACACGTCATACGCCGATACGTCAAAGCTTGTGCGTTATTTACGTTTACAACTTAAGTTGTCGTAAAATGTTACGGCAGTGCTTGTGCTCAGACCCTTAGCCCATGGCGGTGGCCGCTTACGTTCTCAACTGTGATTGGTCAATTCGCTTACTGATTACGTTTACGGCCTTACGTTTTTCTATGTGCCATGGGCTTTAGTATTATAGATATTCGCATCATTGACCTAGTTTCCATCGAAACCCTCAATTCGGTTTCACTACGGTATAGATCAAACTTGGTGTACTGTTTCCATTGGAAGTAGAAGTGAAGTGAATTAATGTTAAAGTTTCATTGTATGACCAAATATCACGCTTATTATCCATTTTTGAACGACTCATACTTTTAACCTTTTAACGAATAATGGAAAGGTTGACGATATTTACTTTTAATCTATTTCAGTCGTTTCCACCGACTAAAATTTAATGCCAATTCGCTGCCACTCTGGTAGAAATTGTGAATCGAAGTGGAAGTGAAATGAGCGGAGTCAAACGTATTTCCATCGAGTTAAATTTGGTTCTACGCCGAATTAAATGCAAATTAATGCTTCGGTGGAAACTAGACCATTGGTTATGTGTTATTACGCCAGTCTGTTCCGTATTGATGAATGAGGCTGCTTTTACATGCAGCGTAACTTGCGTAAGCGCAACTTGCGTCAGCCAATCAAATTGTCTCAATTAGAATATGGCATAGGAGCTGATACAATTTGATACGGTTTGATTGGTTGACGCAAGTTACGTTTACGCAAGTTACGCTGCAAAACGTGCGGGGTCCTTTTCACATCTCATGGCACATTCGATACATATGCACTGACACGATTCTAGTACTGCCCTGACACGGTGCTGCCCTGATAGGGTGTTGCCCTGACACGGTGCGAGTGCAAAACTACACTAATTAATAATTTAATTAATAATTTAATTTTTAATTAATAATAATAATTTAAAGAAAAATACATAAGGATATGTAGGGTTGGTCAAAGAACACACCACTTTTTTTTTGTGGGCCTGTGTTATTGTTATATAAAAGAGTCCTTCAAATCTTCAATTCATTTGTAATATAAATAAATAATTAAAAGAAACAGGGCTACGAGCCAACATTCGTTAAAATATGAAGGTCTTAGTAAATATAATATGTCATTAGTTAAAAATAAATATAAAGTTTAATAAAATTTAAAAACAGACGTTTCGACCTTTATTAGGTCATTTTCAATGTTAAAAAAGTCGTAAAATCGTTAACAATTTACAAAACTATGGTAATTATAAAATTAAAAAAGCGAAGAAATGTATAAAATATTGACAAAAAAACGAAAAATATGTACATAAATCTTCTGATGTGAGTGTTTAATCTCACTCACAATTGGATACTCAATCATATTGGCGCACATTGCCAATAGTCCATCAAACAACGCAATCATCGAATTAGTTAATGAAATACTCCACATTTCTAAATCAAATAGTCAAGTAATAATACAGTGTCAGTGATAAATACAAAAAATTAAAGAATGCAATATTTCTTGCACTCGTTCGGTTCATTCGGTTGGTCCGAATACAAATTCAGCACTACACTAGGTCAGTTTTCATTTACCGAATACGACAATCTAAGCGCACTGATACGGTGCACATATTCCGAATGCGTGGCACCAAAAAAGTGCGCACTAGTGCAATCTGTCGAATTCGCCATAAGCTTCACTAAAACCCTAATCTCATCCCCTCTCTTTAACTCTTGTAAATTAACCTTCTCTAGATATCTCGGACCTTTTCCCTTAGCCTCTATCTCTTTATATTTCTTATTATATCTCGCTTTCTTAATTTTAGCATCCTCCCATTGCCTTTGAACATCTCTTTCTCTTTCTATTAACTCTTTTTCTATATTATATCCTATTCCTCCTTCTACTTTCTTTGCTGCAATTTCCCATCTATTCCTATTATAAAAACTTTCCCTTTCTCTCCCATTTTTATCTTCCCAATTTCAATCTCTTTTTTCCTCCCAACAAGCCAAAGCTATTTTTCCTGCCCTTCCCTCCTTTACTTTTACCTCATATCTTCTAGCTCTTATTCCCCAACCTACCCTTAATTTTGTCAACGTTAGTTCCCTCATAATAATATATCTCGGTGTACAGAAATCTAATCTGAAAATCCATCTCACATAATTCATCATTACCCTTTCTGAACCTTCTCTTTCCTTCCGCCCTCAAATCTCAGCCCCATAAGTCATAACATTCTGCACTAAGTATCTGAATAACATCCATCTCCTACTAAAATCATTTCTGCAAATTCTCTCCCCTAAGCCCCATACCTTTCTTGCTAATCTACATTCTTTTTCAGTTCTCGTAAATGCCTTTTGTAATTTCCCCTGTTATCTACCCTAAAACCCAAATATTTAAATTCTTTTACCTCTTCTATTTCTTTGTCCCCCCATTTCCATGTCTCTAGTTTTTCTTTAACTTCTCTATTTCCTACCAACATCTTTGTCTTTTCTACACACAGCTCAATCTTTCTATTT